ACACAAACGAATAAACATGAATGTTGACCGCGGTCATTACTCAGGCGTTTCACTCGGTAATCAGATTGCGTGTAATTTTTCAAAAACAAAACAGTGAATTAAATATGCGCTGTGCGTGTGATGCGGCATGTAAACAAACAATCCGAAAAATTCTAGAATGAGGTGCGAATGCATATGTTTCCGTTCCATGCTCAAACATATATCTAATAAAATGTACTAAAACGTTAACACACCAATGTAAAAATCGATTGTGAATTTTCAAATATCAGTTCGTGCAGTATATCCGGTCACATATTTGAGCAGAACATAACTTCGTCCGAACTTATCTTCACAATATCTTTAAAAATCTTGCATTTTGCACTCATGTTGCACATTTCTAGTCCATCATTCAAAAATCTGCTATTTCTGTTATTACTTATCGATCTTAAGATCGGTAAGTATGATGATAGGTATTTGTCTGTCTGTATGTCTGTGTGTTAGACGCACGCGATATCTCATGGAAGCGAGGTTGAATCTGCTCCAAATTTTGCATGTGCATTCATCATAGCTCAGATCAGAAGCCTATGGACCTTTCCCCGACCTTCGACCCCCGAGAAATTCTTCCTATACTTTACCATTGCAAAATTTTCGGGGCTATTTTAAAAGTGCTTTTGCGAGTTGGAGCCTGTGAAATGGGGTATGTGTTTCAAACCATCATTACGATTCATCGCATGCAACAATCTGTTCTTTAACAGTACTGTTAAAGAATTTTAGCCTAGTCTATCACAGCTATTTCTACACTAATTTTTATTACTACAATTAAATTAAAACTCCTAGGAAGACAGGGTGACCATTGAATTATTGGACACGTAGTGGACATAACGATCGTTTCAATATTATGTTGTTGTTGTTCTTGTTCTTGTTCTTGTTGTTCTTGTTGGACACGTAGTGGACATAACGATCGTTTCAATATTATGTTGTTGTTGTTCTTGTTCTTGTTCTTTGACACGTTTTTGAAAAGTCGCTTTTCTCTTCGAATACTGGACCAATTGCTTTGAAATTTTCAGTGGTTGAAGATTAATTTTTTCGCTAGAAGGCTATTACTTTTGTTTATTCTTAAATTTTATATGAATCCTATGAGATATGATATTTCATACATAATTTCGCGGTATTTATTTTTACTCATGGGAACACTGTTTTACACTTATTTCAAGCGGTTTCGCGATCGATTGTCTTGCTCAGTACTACAGCTACTGTAGGTCGGTACTGGTAAGTTGCCATACCGGTGCCGTAACGCAGTGAAATTGACTTATTCCTTCCGCGGTATTACTAATGCTGCAATGCAAGTTTTATAGCCTATCGTATGCGGAACGGAATATCAGACCTACAGGTTCGGTACCGGTACTGGTAGCTCAGTACGTAAGTACGATAGGTTCGAATCCCATGCAGGGATGGTTATGTGCGAGAGGATTGCTGGACTCCTCGCCGTCGTTGGGTGGTTCACGTAACCGCTGGTCGGTTACGGCTTCCTCCACCACCAAGTCCATGCTTCCGAAAAACAAACAATACAGTAAAAACTAATCCCATACCCGACTTGGAATGGTAACCGGACGAGAGGCCGTGGTTCGCCATATGGATAAGCCGTCTTATCGGCTTTCCTCTCCCCCGGGATAAATATGTAAATCCTATCCTATCCTATCCTACGATACTGGTGCCGGTACCGGTGTCTTACCACAATGAAATTACCGTAACTTATTCTTTCACGGTCCTACCAGTGCAGTAATGCAAGCGTTGTAGCACTTGTAGCCTACTATATTTGTTTATTTTGATGAGAGTCTACTGGAAACAACATAAAATTTGAAAGGGAAGAATTGTTCTGTGATCAATTATCTGTCCTAAAGTGTAAATAACATAAAATTTGCAAGGGAACAACTGTTCTGTGATCAATTACCGTATATGGCCTACAGTGTACAGGTAAGATGCTGGCTGACTGCTAACCGGTACTGGTAGCTCAGTACGTAAGTACGATACTGGTACTGGTGCCGGTACCGGTGTCTTACCACAATGAAATTACCGTAACTTATTCTTTCACGGTCCTACCAGTGCAGTAATGCAAGCGTTGTAGCACTTGTAGCCTACTATATTTGTTTATTTTGATGAGAGTCTACTGGAAACAACATAAAATTTGAAAGGGAAGAATTGTTCTGTGATCAATTATCTGTCCTAAAGTGTAAACAACATAAAATTTGCAAGGGAACAACTGTTCTGTGATCAATTACCGTATATGGCCTACAGTGTACAGGTAAGATGCTGCCTGACTGCTAACTCAGTACCGCTTGACACGTTTTTAAAAAGTCGCTTTTCTCTTCGAATACTGGACCAATTGCTTTGAAATTTTTAGTGGTTAAAGATAAAAATTTTCTCCAGAAGGCTATTACTTCTTTTTTCGCTATGACGTCATCAAAATTATGTGACTCTACGTGTCCATATATTTGAGCATAGCTCTCTTGTTCTTGTTCTTTGACACGTTTTTAAAAAGTCGCATTTCTCTTCGAATACTGGACCAATTGCTTTGAAATTTTCAGTGGTTAAAGATTAATTTTTTCGCTAGAAGGCTATTACTTTTGTTTATTCTTAAATTTTATATGAATCCTATGAGATATGATATTTCATACAAAATTTCGCGGTTTTTATTTTTACTCATGGGAACACTGTTTTACACTTATTTCAAGCGGTTTCGCGATCGATTGTCTTGCTCAGTACTACAGCTACTGTAGGTCGGTACTGGTAAGTTGCCATACAGCATTACAGGTACCGGTACCGTAACGCAGTGAAATTGACTTATTCCTTCCGCGGTATTACTAATGCTGCAATGCAAGTTTTATAGCCTATCGTATGCGGAACGGAATATCAGACCTACAGGTTCGGTACCGGTACTGGTAGCTCAGTACGTAAGTACGATACTGGTACTGGTGCCGGTACCGGTGTCTTACCACAATGAAATTACCGTAACTTATTCTTTCACGGTCCTACCAGTGCAGTAATGCAAGCGTTGTAGCACTTGTAGCCTACTATATTTGTTTATTTTGATGAGAGTCTACTGGAAACAACATAAAATTTGAAAGGGAAGAATTGTTCTGTGATCAATTATCTGTCCTAAAGTGTAAACAACATAAAATTTGCAAGGGAACAACTGTTCTGTGACCAATTACCGTATATGGCCTACAGTGTACAGGTAAGATGCTGGCTGACTGCTAACCGGTACTGGTAGCTCAGTACCGGTACGTAAGTATGGTACTGGTGCCGGTGTCTTACCACAATGAAATTACCGTAACTTATTCTTTCACGGTCCTACCAGTGCAGTAATGCAAGCGTTGTAGCACTTGTAGCCTACTATATTTGTTTATTTTGATGAGAGTCTACTGGAAACAACATAAAATTTGAAAGGGAAGAATTGTTCTGTGATCAATTATCTGTCCTAAAGTGTAAACAACATAAAATTTGCAAGGGAACAACTGTTCTGTGATCAATTACCGTATATGGCCTACAGTGTACAGGTAAGATGCTGCCTGACTGCTAACTCAGTACCGCTTGACACGTTTTTAAAAGTCGCTTTTCTCTTCGAATACTGGACCAATTGCTTTGAAATTTTTAGTGGTTAAAGATAAAAATTTTCTCCAGAAGGCTATTACTTTTTTTTTCGCTATGACGTCATCAAAATTATGTGACTCTACGTGTCCATATATTTGAGCATAGCTCTCTCGTCTGATTTACATTTAAGTTTCCAAAACACAACTGAAAACTAACGAATGGGGCTCAAAAATGCGAAAACGAGGTAATGTTTACGACCACGCTTGAAAATCTGTCTGAGTGAGAAAAGTGTCTGAGTGGATGCGAAAAAGGGAGCATTGTTACGTCACTTTTTGCAATTTGCTGATTGGCCAATGTCACGAAGTAAACAAGGAAGTCGATGCTTGGGGAAAGGTCCATTGATTTTGGATGGATTATGTCTTATGATTAGCGACTTAATGGACACACGGTGTCACTATGGAGTAAGACCACTGTTTTGGGGGCTTCCCCTAACCTTCGATCGATAAGTCTTCGGTTTCTAACCGATATTCTAGTTTGTTCATTGATGAGGCGAACCTAATACAGAAAGAAACAAACTTGTATACTAGGCTTTTATTAGCTCAAACGTCAACTAAGAGTCTTAAAGCAGCACAAACCAAAGAATGACTTTCAAAATCGAAACACCATGCTACTGAAGGACGAACAGTATACGTCAGCAGGGTCAAATGTCGTGGCTGTTTTAGGCGTTGCTAGATTTCAATACATAAATCACCACAATTGATGTCACTAAGTCTGAGATTCACTTCTCGAATGCATATCTTCGGCTCGAGATAGCCACGTCCGCACGCGACGGCGGTCGGTACTGAATCTTACGGTACAATGTTCCGCGGCCTTCATATCAATCAATCATAAGGGCACCAGTCCATGGGTATGAGACGGTATGTTAGTCGTTGGTGTGAGATTAGTTACACAGCTATTTCTTTCAGATGCATGCACTTGATAGTGGAGTAATCTGTAATCGACCTGAAGTTGTATGAACCGTGCTGCGATTGCGTGGAGCGCAGCGATTCTCTCAAATTGAAGTTTTCATCCCGAAAGTACAATTACACAAAAACTAACAAAAGACTAAAGGCCAAGTATTTGGAATGATCATTTCAGTGGTCGCAAACCTCTTCGGATATATTCCTCTCTTTACCAACCTTGGATCACCTTGTTTCCGCTCATGATGCATAAAACGCTATGGTATTTGTTCGATCTTTAATGGAGTCTAGTCAGTGTTGCGTACAACACACACTCCAGCTTTTGTGCACGCTGAATAGAATATATTGTGTCTGTTAATATGTATTACAACAATACTGAAAAACTACACAAAGTACAAAGTGATACTTCTGCATTGCCACCTCAAAAATTCCTCTCTAGTTGAAAACGCTGATACGGGTGCCAGTATCAAATTAACAAGATATTGTTATTTATATTTTAACACTATCATTATCACAAATAATAAATGTAGCAAATGCATTATTTTAAAAAAATGATACAATAGATACACAAAGATGGGATTAAGATTCGTTAGGGCGAACAAAATGTAAATATGCTCAGAATGCAACGAAAATGACTGAACATGGGAGAAAATGAAAAAATCACTAGTGCAAACTAATATGTAAATTTCTCGAAACAAACAAACAAATAACAGTGCAATCATAATAACCACATGAAACCAAAGCTGGCTGTCAAGCAGCATAACCCCAACATTTTTATTTCTTTTTACAATTTATGAGGTCATAATTGGAAAGTACAACTTTGGCAGTTAATAAACCAACATTGCCGACAATAGATAAGACCAGTGATTGACCTGAAGGGGATGAAACATCCCCTAATTTAGAGATGTGACACTACACTTTTCAGGTTGTGCGACATCTTATAAACATATGGGAGATAGAGCAGGTTTTGATTTCCATAATAAGAGAATCAAATAGTATTTTTGTTCCTCATTGCCTCTGTAGAGAGATCAGGCAGGATTTTCTTAGTTGAGCACTGATCAGTCAGTCGATCTCATCAATGAAATCTGCAAAGTAAAATTTAAAAATTAAAACTGGAATAAATCTACTGTGGGAGGAGGGACTCATCTCATAGCTAAGTTTCAGATGAACACTGAAATACCAAGATCTACTAAAACCAGATAAAATTATGATTGCGAATGAAGCACCAGTGAATGTAATAATATATTGGCTTTACGGCTGGTGAATCGTGCTAAGCATTTGGAAAAAGCTTGCCATCATATCGCAGATCAAGGTTGCAGGTTTGAATTCTGGAAATAATTGTGTGGAGGAATTACTGGACTCCTTGTCGGCGTAGGGTGGTGCGTGTAAGTACTGGTCTGTTGTGGCTTCCTCTAATAACTGACTAACTATTCTCACATGGACTGATGATCAGACAAGATGCAGTGATTTGGCATATAATTAATCCATCTTATCCCTTCCCCTCTCCCAGATATAACTTACCTAGTTCAGGCCATAACATGTTATAAGCCGAACGCTCAGTCTTCCCATTTTGATTCAATTCAAAGTGAACATCAAGAAGTTCCTGCGGTTGCGGAAGAGGAGATACCTGGATGAACAAAGAAAAAGGGAGAGATAAAGCTGCCTTTGCAAAGAGGACAATGTTGTACAAAAACCACTTTTATGCAAGATCATGTTCCTCAATCAAATAACTAACAAACTGTTCCCTAATGCAACATTCGCTGTCAGACTTTCAGTCTGCCAACCCGATTATCAACGCAGCATCATAAGTTCCTCAGTGGGCACATCATGGTAAGCGTTGGGGAGATGCTTGCCATTGCACCTTTGGTCGCCTGGTTCTATCAGTTCTATTACGAGTTCGGAACTGTCTGTGTTTGCGCCAAGTGAATAATACCCCCTACCAATAGGTTTCAATCCCTTTACACAACTTGATGTAAAATAGGTGAGCAAAATTAGTTACCTCCATATTGGTACACATACTTCCGGAGCACCACCATAGGACTATAGGCTTTGGTTTACCATGCTATTGAAGCCATCAGTCCCCTCACCCTTTACTTTATATCAATTGCTCTGAATGAGTGGAAAATAAAGTAAGTTCAATTTTGTCTTATTACATCCAGGAAAATGAAGGAAATTTATCCAACACTTGAACTTCTGTTTGTGTATGATTGTACCCTAATGTGTCTAGAACACTTTGCACAAAAGTTATGTTCACTCCAGAATATGTTACAAATGGCCCGGGTTCTATTTTTTTTTTCTACGGTCACAATAAATTTAAAATAATACCTGAAATTCAATGACTTTTCTATTTCCCTTCCAAAGATCTTCACTTATTGAAAATCCATTCTTATTTATCGGAGTGAAAGTGTAGTTTTGTGTTGTTTCATGTGACTCTGCACTGCAATAAGATTTGATGATTTTTTTTACAGTGTGCATTTTACATTTAGGGATGTCTGTATCCGAATACCAACTCCCCGCTGTCACAGTGTGGTTCACGTAACCATGCACAATATCTGAAAACTCAAGGATTTGTAACAGTGATTCACTGTATTCAAAAATCCCTGACATAAAAGCACTTTTGACATTTCTCCCTGATGCAAATTTGACCACTAAAATCACTATGTCAACCCTATTCTAGGATTCAATCGAAAAATATCAGTGTTTGAATGACATTACTTCCCACTATAGATGAGTGAAAGAAAAAAATGACATGATACAAAGTATGACATATTGAACTGATGTACATTGCTGTAAAACTGAGTTTACGAAGGGTCAGTGTTGAGCGTTAGGAAAATGCTCCGCACCTCTGATTAACCTGGTTCGCAGGTTTGAATCTTATGGAGGACAATTAAGAGTGAGGCATGCAGGATTTCTTTCCTCTCTCCCGGGATAAATATACCGTATTTGCTCGTTTTGTAGCCCGGGCCCATATTTTTTTCAACCAACTCACTTACCGGGCCCTTATTCAAACCGGCCCTTATATTAGGGCACGGGCGCTTGTTATTTTTGATCGGTACAATATTTAATATATTGTTATTTCCAGTTCTCAAGTATGATTTAAACGAGAATAAAGAAAATTTTGACTTTTTCCACGCACCGCAGGTACAAATCCGCAAAAGGAGAAAAGTTTTGCGACGCCCTATCAAAATTGAAACAACGCACTTGGGCATCGCGACGTCTAGTTTGAGAACTATGGTGTTACGTAATCAATACTATCTGTTATGTACTTGGACGCCTAAGGCGTGAGTCTTATCTACCGGCGCTTAAAATTCAACAGCGATGTGACGAAAGCGTTTCTTATCTCCTATTGTTCTCTACCACTAAAAAATCAGCTTTTACATAGGGCGGGTATTCAAGCACCAGCCCTTATTTATTTTTATGTTCTGTTCACACGGGCGGCTATTCAAACGGGCCCTTAATGAAGATCGGGCGGTAAAACGAGCATATACGGTAAATAAAATATTATCCACTACCTGATCTTAATAGAAATTTTGTTTCCACATTTCACTGTTAAGCGATCGAACCAAAGAGGAGTTGGGCTGTATTCTGCTCTGTTCATTTCTGGAAAAACTTCTTTCTTCGTTGTCTCCTCATCAAGTGAGAATATGCATCTGAATTTACCTGTAAAATAAAAGTGGTAAAACTGTAAAAATAATACACAATAATCAAATAATGTAAGAGGTGCCACAGGATTAGTCATTGAACTGCAGATTCTCTCTCACCGCCTATTTCTTACTTAAGTTTCATATGTAGCAGTTATATAAAAAATATGGGCGCTTCCGAAGTATGTGTACCAAGAAGGTGCACAAACTGGACCATAACCTGGTACACATACTATGTTCAGGTTGTGCGCCATCTTTGTGCACATACTTCGGCAGCTCTAAAATATGTGCATATTTTCATAAAAAATGTGGTTCAAGAGTCTTGCTGTTCTATAACATGAGAACATTTCTGTAACACTTGTCTGACCAAGGTCAGTTAGTGCGCAGAATAACTCTTGAATCACTTAATAATAATAATCACAAGAATAATCTTCACTCTTGCTACAGCAACCTTGCATTATATGCATACGGATCCACCGGCACAAAAGCATAGAAGAAGGATAAGTGATCGCAGACGAGAATTAATGAAAAGGACAACTGATATTCTTATGTTTTATTTTATGAATAACCGTAAGAAGTGTCTCAAAATGTTTCAAATTCATGTCATTTCGTTTGAGTGTGATCAGAATTATGATCTTTCAATCTGATCAGAGATATGTGCGTATAAGCCGACCCCTTAGTTCGACAACTTTTAACAACGTTTTTAACTCGGTAGTGACCTTGAAACCCAATCAATGATTATATTGAAAATTCCCCTAAATTCTCACCTTTTTTGTTGAAGTAGAGTTCTGGCAGGACTTGGAACACAACCTTTTCAATGAAAAGTGTTTTCATGTAAACGAATAATTTTGAAAAATGCTGAGTTTCTAATTTCATAAATTGTCTAGATGTTTTTAGTTGTTTTTGTTCGAGTATTTTTATGTCTGAGTCCTCATCTTCCATGCAAGCGACGTACGCGATAATATTCTCTTGTTCTGTACGACACCAAGTTCTTAGTCTAATTTTCATAGGAAGATTGGATCGTATGGGTGTACTGAAAAAGAAAATTAAATTTAAAAAAATGGGGATATTTTGGTAAAAATATGGTGTAGAACTGAACCAGTATATCCCCGGCTATAAAATCATCCATGACCTATAAAATGTGTCATGTATTCGACAGACCATCTGATCTGGTATTCAAATTTGATTATGTTCATGTTAGGAATTAAAGTGTGATGTCAGAAGGGAAATGAAGGAACATGTTGTTAGTGAGTTCGATATAAGAGTAATCAGTAATTAGTAGTTCACTTTTTCACCATACATAAAATACACTAAATGAATACGGGATGTAAAAAAAGAAAACAAAAACAACTAATTCAGATTGAAAGAAGTTGCAAAACCCATATTGGTTATCGAGCAGTGACACCCATGATAATTTCAACAGTAATTGAAAACATAATGAAAAAGTCAAACAATGATTGGAAAAATAAATAAATAAAAGTTGAAACGATTTGAACGCCAGATACACAGAGAAACAACAAAACGACTCCAAACACCTATGTGCAGGTAACCATGCGAACGGCAACAGTGCGGAGACAGAATACTGATATCACAGTGTTAGTGCATTATGAAACTGATAATTATTTGAACAAGATTTTAAAAATAAAGTGAACCCTTCTTAAAATGTTCGAATCCCACCACTGCATACATACCTACTACACAATACTGAAGTTATTCCGACAAAATCTTCCGGGCAAAATTGTGTCGAATCTGTTTGAAGATTCAGTTTAAAGTGCACGGGATGGTTCAAAGCTCCGGGTGGAATTGTAACAAAGCAATCATCGAAATGAACGGAACCTCCTTCGGGGCCGATCTCAGCTTTTCCAATTCCTGTGAATAAAAACAGCAACGTAATTATTAATTTTTCATTAGGTGTTAGGATAGGATTTACATATTCATCCCGGGGGAGAGGAAAGTCGATAAGACGGCTTATTCATATGGCAAACCACGGCCTCTCATAGGGTTACCATTTCATGTCGGATGTGGGATTAGTTAGTTATTTGTTTTTTCAAAAGCATGGACTTGATGGTGTAAGAAGCCGTAACCGGCCAGTTGTGCAATTTTTCTCTGAGACTTTGGACATTAACTGGAAATAGTTGTAAAAATATTGTAATAATTGAATTGTATTATTTTTTTCTTAATAATCGAATGGTGACGTTTTTTGATTGCGGTTCTTTTAGCTTAGGAGGGGCTCGTAATAGAGGGGTTTGTATTCACTATTTTAATTGATGTCTTTTAATGTGGGGGCTATTCTTGGAATTGGAGAACTGTGTCATACTTTTCATTACAGGGTAAACAAAACTAGCAATGAAAGAATGTTCTTCTGTCAACCTGTATAGGATTTTGGACAAATAGTGACTGAAAATATAAGAAAAATACTATTTTTGTAACCACTTTACATCAGTGGTTTTCAGCTAAGGTTCTGGAGCAACCTTGGGTTCCATAAGTACAGTCCAGAGGTTCTATAAGTCTACATTGAAATCTGAGAGGCTATTACTTAAATATGACTGTATCACCAAATAACTATTAGTAATCTACTAATACAATACAGTAATATTTAACTTTATTTTAGGTTTGTAACTCGTCCTTACCATCAAACCCAATGGATTTTTGCATTTTCAAGTTTTCTTTTTATCTCAAGATAATATACTACGGTACCGGTACCGGTACTAATTCCAAATACTATCTACGGTGGTTTCCATTATATACCGTAACTAAGTTGCCTCATTTCCTCTCGGAATGAATACGACTGTCGCACGCTCTTATAAAGTTCCGCAAATTCAACTCGGCATCTAAAATAATTCTGTCACCACCGGATTGACACCGGATGTCATATCAGGAGCGAATGTCATAAATTATTTTCTGTTTCCAATAATATATTCCCTATATCATATTATATCCAACAGCAAAATCGGACACTTAGCAATGCTACGACAACTGAAATGCAAACGGCTAATAATATTTCGTTGTTGAAAATTACCAATTTCCACGACCTTTGACCGATGCTGCCAGCAACATATTTTGAGGGGACGCTCGTCTAACCGCGCCATTACAAACTTCACGGGGTTGCTATTCATACCTGCTCCCAAAAGCTTTCTGTGTGTAAATGCTGCTTCAACCGGCTTTTTAATAATATGAATTTGATAATGACTAACTTATGTTGAGTTGCATGTACATTACCACGGTCTATTTGTCGGTTGGGTGGAGTACTGGTACGGTATCTGATCTGACAGTATATCGTGCCAAACTAGTCTATCGTGTACAACACTAACATATTACGAAAAACCTACTTTAGTACAGCATCTCTCGGCTCATATACTGCCCAACCACATGCGAATACAAAGCAAAATCGCAGCGTTCCCTCAAACAGTGGTTCTGGCAGCAGTGGTCACGCTCTGTTGAGTCGTATGAAAGTCCGCAATGAGATTGCAGTTGGACGCCAATCGTTTTTGATTTCTTTTTTCACTTCGGTGAAGCAAATTCAGTTATATAGTTTAAAACGGTAAGCTATACTCGATGCAAAGCGTAAAATTGATTGATGCATTCTTGGGACAAATATCGACGAGCGTGTTGAAGTTTTGATAAAATTGGAGAAAGTTCTAGAGAACAAGCTCGCTACCGCATCTCTGATTACCCTTCGTGGGTTCGCAGGTTCGAATCACATGCGTGGATGATCATGTGCGAGAGGATTGCTGGACTCCTCGCCGCCGTAGGGTGGTTCACGTAACCACTGGTCGGTTACGGCTTCCTCCACCATCAAGTCCATGCTTCTGAAACAAATAACTGGCTAACTAATCCCATACCCGACCTGGACTGGTACCCGGACGAGAGGCCGTGGTTTGCCATATGATTAAGCCGTCTTATCGGCTTTCCTTTCCCCCGGGATAAATATGTGAATCCTATCCTATACAGTTGTGAGTACAGTTGGGCGAAAAATCCAGATGTGCTTTTGGGTCAATGCATTAATTTTCGTGCACAAGCCCGAATCCAATTTAGGCAATACGACTTTCAGCTTACTTTGCATAGGATAGGATTTACATATTTATCCTGGGGGAAATAAAAACTGATAAGACGGCTTAACCATATGGCGGAATTGGCTGTGTATGCATGTTTGTTAGGTTGTTTATGCATATGAAACTGGTTGTATATCCACATGACATTGGCTGTTTAGGCATATGGAACTGGCTGTATATGTATATGCCACTGGCTGTATATACATATATATGCTTTTTAGCCGTTTAAGCATATTTAAGCTGTATACCCAATGTTTTTTTAGGTTGTTTATGCACATATGGTGGGCTCTATATGTATATGAATTTTATCTTGACTGTATAGACAAATTTCGTTGGGTGTATATACATGCATATTTAGTTGGCTCATTATGTATATGAGTTGTTTGTAAATGCATTTGGCATTGACTGTATGTACACATAGCATTGGTTGTTTATGCTTATGGGACTGGTTGTTTATGCATGTGGAATTGACTGTATATGCATATGGCATTGGGTGTATATGCTCATGGCATTTTGTTTTTTATACAAGTGGTATGTGCATATTTGTTAAGTTACTTAATCATATATGGTAGGATCTATGTATATGTATATGAATTGTCTGTATATGAATATTGTCTTAAACTGTATAGACAAATTTTGTTGGGTTCATATGTATGTTCATAGTTTCTTGGCTCTATATGTAGATAGATAGATTATTATTTATTAGATTTATAGTTTATTTATGTATATGACTAGGCTGTATTGTATATGAATATGGCATTGACCGTATATGCATATGACCTTGAATGTATATAGATATTGCATTGAGTATATAGACATGATGTATTGGCTGTATATTCATAAATGATTCGCTCAAAATTCATATGACATTGGTTGTATATGCATATTTGGTTGGATTTTTTTCTAGATGAGGTATTTGTAAATGTATATGGCATTGATTGCATGTTTACATGGCATTTGCTGTTTATGCATTTGGTATTGCCCTCATGTTACATGGCATTCGCTGTTTATGCATTTGGCATTGCCTGCATGTGCACATGGCATTGGTTGTTTATACATATTTGGTATATTCTGTATTTTAATGATGTGTCTATGCATATTTGGTTGACTATATGTAACATGAGTTTGACTGTATGTGCACATGGCATTGGTTGTTTATGCATATAGAATTGGTTGTATATGCATATGCCATTTGTTGTTCACGCATATGGCATTTGGTGTATATGCATTTGACACTGGCCGTTCATTAATTGAAATTGGCTGTATATGAATATTTGTTAGGTTGTTTATGCATATATGGTGGGATCTATATGAATATGGCAACTCCTGAAGTATGTGAACCAAGATGGCGGACATCGGGACTTAGTATGTGTACCAGGTTAGGGTTAGGCCATGATTTCAGGTACAAATACTACGGGAGTCACTTGGCTAGTCCGCGAACTTGTAATATAACTAAAATATGAAAAATTGGACTAAAATTATTGCCTAACCCTACCCTGGAACAAATACTACATATCGGTGTCCGCCATCTTGGTTCACAAGCATCTGGATTAGCTGAATAGAAATTGTTTATATATGAATATTGTCTTGACTGTATAAAAAAAATTGGCTGTGTTGATGTGCAAATGCTTGGATGTATATGCATATGGCATTGGCAGTATTTGCAATTCACACTGACTGTATATTCATATTTGATTCACTCAAAATGCATATGATATTGGTTGTATATGCACCTGGCATATGTTGTTTTGAGTACGGCACTGGCTGTATATGCATATGACACTGGTTTCGTATGCATATGGCATTGGGTGTATATGCACATTGCATTTGTTGTTTATGTATATGGCTCTGGCTGTATGAGAACATGGTATTGGCCATTATTCATATGGAATTAGCTGTATATGCATATATGGTGGGATCTATATGTATATATTATTGTTTGTATATGAATTTTATTCGGTTGTTATGCATATGCATTGGCTGAAAATGCATATGACAATGGTTGTATATGCATATTTGGATGGCTTTTTTATATTAGTTATCTGTGAATGCATACTGTATTGACTGCATGTGTAGATGGCATTCGCTATATTTGGCTGGTTTCTATACACATGAGTTGGCTATATATGCATATTGGCATTTTCTGTATATTCGATTGACATTTGCTGTATATGTTTTTAGTAGGCTCTATGTGTATATGAGTATATGGCATTGAATTTAAATGCATATTTGGTTGGGTAATATATTTATATTCGTTAGCTGTATATGCATATTGTGTTGCTTGTAAATGCACATGTCATTGATTGTTTATCCATATGCAACTGGCTGTATATGCATATGCCATTGGCCATTATTCATATGGAATTGGCTGTATATACATACTTGTTAGGCTGTTAGTGCATATATGGTGGGATCTACATGTATACACTATTGTCTATATTTGAATAGTGTCTTGGCTATATAGAAAAATTTGGTTGGGTTGATATACATATGCGTTTGCTGTATATGCATATATCACTGACTGTATATTCATATTTGATTCGCTCAAAATGCATATGATATTGGTTGTTTATGCATATTTGGTTGGCATATTTTCTATATGAGGTATTTCTGAATGCATATGGTATTGAATGTATGTGTACATGGCATTCGCTCTTTAGGAATTTGGCATTGCATGTATGTGCATATTTGGATATTTTCTGTATATTCAATCGGCATTGGCTGTATATGTTTTTTAGTAGGCTCTATGTGTATATAAGTTGTATACACATGTATATGGCATTAAATGTAATGTATATGCCTATTTGGTTAGCTCTATATTTTATAATAGTTAGCTGTATTTGCATATGTCATTGGCTGTATAGTAACTGTCTTTGCAAATGGCATCGGCTGAAAATGCGCATGGACTTTCTGTATATGCATATGACATTGGCCGTTTTAAGGAATCGGCTGTATATTCACTTTTGTTAGGTTGTTTAATCATATATGGTGGGATCTATGTATATATATATATGTATATGAATTGTCTGTATATGAATATTGTCTTAAACTGTATAGACAAATTTTGTTGGGTTCATATGTATGACTAGGCTGTATTGTATATGCATATGGCATTGACCGTATATGCATATGATCTTGAGTATATATAGATATTGCATTGAGTCTATAGACATGATGTATTGGCTGTATATTCATATATGATTCGCTCAAAATTCATACGACATTGGTTGTATATGCATATTTGGTTGGCTCTTTTTCTATATGAGGTATTTGTAAATGTATATGGCATTGACTGCATGTTTACATGGCATTGGCTGTTTATGCATTTGGCATTGCCTGCATGTGCACATGGCATTGGTTGTTTATATATGAATATTGTCTTGACTGTATAAAAAAATTTGGCTGTGTTGATATGCATATGCGTTGGATGTATATGCCTATGGCATTGGCAGTATATTTGCATATCGCACTGACTGTATATTAATATTTGATTCACCCAAAATGCATATGATATTGGTTGTATATGCACATGGCATATGTTGTTTTGCTTATGGCACTTACTGTATATGCATATGACACTGGTTGCTTATGCATATGGCATTGGGTGTATATGCACATGGCATTTGTTGTTTATGTATGTGGCACTGGCTGTATATGAACATGGTATTGGCCATTATCCATATGGAATTAGCTGTATATGCATATTTGTTAAGTTGCTTATGCATATATGGTGGGATCTAAATGTATATAGTATTGTCTGTATATGAATATTGTCTTGAATATATGGAATAAATTTAATTCGGTTGTTATGTCTATGCGTTGGCTTAAAGTGCATATGACAATGGTTGGATATGCATATTTGGTTGGCTTTTTTTATATTAGTTATTTGTAAATGCA